TGATGAGATTCTGAAAGATTATAATCATGTGCTTCTTGATGATTGGAAGAGTTTTGGTATTGGGAATGGACTAGAATGTGAATGGGTCTACGTCAAGGAAAAAAATGAAAAAAATGAAAGCAATGATAAAAAGAAAAAATATGATAAAGTTATTTTGTATTTACACGGTGGCGCATATGCTTTGTGTTCCACCAAATCTCATCGCATGTTTACTTCTAAAATTGCAAAACTTGCAAATGCAAAAGTATTTGGTAATTAATTAATTAATACTAATTTTGAAAATGAAATTTTGACAAAAAAAAAAATTTTTTTTAAACCGACTGACAACATATAATTTTACTTCCCTAAGCAATAAATTATAGACTCGCACCACAAAATCAATTTCCTGCCGCTTTACACGACTCGATAACCGCCTACAATTATCTTATTAACCCACCAAAAGATGCTAATTTCCTACCAATTGAACCCAAGAATATTGTAATTATGGGTGATAGTGCAGGTGGTGGTCTAGTAATGGCAACATTACTTGCTATACGTGACTCAAAATTACCTTCACCAGCCGGTGCTGTTATGTGGTCACCGTGGGTTGATTTGTCTCACTCAATGCCATCGGCAATGGACCCAAAATTTAATGAATCAGATTATTTGACGGAGAAAAATTTTCAAGGTATAACATCTCCTGCGTGGGAAGAATTTGAACAAAAAGCGAAAAACTTGACTGAAAAAATCCAATTTAATGTTGATAATAAACCAAAATTTTGGCATAAATCATTTGATCACGATGATCGTTTACATCTTTATGTGTCTAATGAAGGAGCAGCAATTCCATATGTTTCTCCATTATTGGCCGAAAGTTTGGGTGGTTTACCACCGATATTAGTGGTAAATACTTTTTTTAAAAAAAAATGTGTGCCAAATCTTGCGATGATAAAAAATAAAAATTTTTTTTTTTTGTATAGCAAGCAGGCGATGGAGAAAAATTAAGAGATGAATGTATTTACTTGGCCCATAAAGCTGCTAATCCAGGAAAATATAATTTGCCCTATTACCATGCTGAAAAATTTGAAAAATCACCTTATAAAGCACCCACAAAAGTTGTCCTTGAGATTTATGAAGAAATGCCTCACGTCTTCCAGGTAATTTTTCACAAAGTTTTAAATTTAAAAAATTAATATTAATTACGCGAAATAATAATAATAGTAGGAGTAGTAGTAATAATAATGGTATTTTTAAAAATATAGTTATTCGAGTTTAGTATATTGGCAAACGTATCCTTGAAACGATCGGTTGAATTTATTGAACAATTATTATCAGGCGAAGAACAGGAGAAAGAATTAAAGACTTTACGAGTAACAAGTAAAGGCAAAATTATTGAAGGGTTGAGAGAGGAACATCACAAGGTGCTCGAATGGGAAAATGTTGGTATTGCGCTTCGCAAAAAAACAAAACTATTTTGTAAACCGGTAAACAATGATAAATTGTAAGTGTGAAAGTACATGTGTGTGATTTTTTTATTTTTCGAGTTTGAGATTCCACGTTATCTAACTAAAATTCCTTTCTTTTCTTTAGTTTGGTTAAGAATATGTCACTATTTGCAGCTTTATTATTAGCAATTATTGTTTATTTGATTTAAACTGTTGATTTTTTTTAAAAAATCAATAAAATTCTTTAATGATTAAAAGTGAATAAGAATTCTGCTACCCTTTCAGAAAATAATTATTATTTTAACGACAATGTTAAACATCATCAAAAAAAAAATCATTATTCCAAAAAGCTCTTCTGTTTTTCCCTTTGATTTTCTATGCTAAAGCAATGGTAATGATATTAGTCCAAAACAAAATTCGATATCAGTTCGACCTAGTGGTTGGAACCGTTGATTATCCGGCGAAAATTTCGATTAACCGGATAATCGATGAATATCATTCGACGGATACAACCACTAGTTCGACCCTTACAAAGACATTGTCCTTCTCAAAAATTTTACAGGCCTCCTTCGACTAATTAATCTTTTTTATTTACAATTAGACCAGATGGAAATCCATCTGGCAATATTCTCATTAATACAAACTCCACAATTCCAAATTGTACCAATCCACTACCAATTGACAGCCAAGATGTATTTCAAATATTATAGCTAATTATCTCTTGGAACGATATAACATTGAACAAAAATTGCATTATCAATCTAAAAGACATGCTAGTAATATGGTAAAATCATCATCATCATCATCATCAAGATGTTCAGAACTCACTTTGCTTTTTGCAAGTTGGATTGATACTAGTGTTGGTTTCCAAAACTAGAGAGTTTCGCAACCGTGCGAAAGTCGAAACTAGTTTTGATTTTTGACTATTGACTCTTGATTTAGATTTGACATATAACTTTTAATTTTAGTTTTGACTTTCGTCTCTTCAAAATAGTTTTGGCGGCCAACACTAATTGATAGAAAAAGTTCATCATTAAATTTATTCGGTGAAGTTAAATATAAATTTAAACTTTTATGTCATAGTAGTAGGGATGGTTTAAATCCAATTATATCTCCTAACTCGCCGCCATTATTATTATTTGATTATTATTGCTTTCTTTATTATGATATTTTATCCCGCTACGAATATTGTATTTATTTATTTTTTTGAGCAAACGATGTTTTTTCTTTTATCATTCTAATTCTACACTAAAGAGAAAATTTTCTTTATCGTCTAATTAATTTAGCCTGCTAAGTCGCTTAAAAAATTTTCCAAGTTGAATGATATAAGAAATACATGATAATTAGAATTATAATTAAAATGTATTTAACATACAGAAATTCCGTGTTATTTTTTTTTTTATAGGGCATAAAATAATTAAAAGATGCTTCAAATTTGGAAGTCAAAAATATGCCGAGAAAACGCTTAATAAGCACATTAGATTTTTGATGAGGAAAAAAAACAAGTATTTAGAAACGATATCACAAAGGGAACTATCACCCTATACATCACTCCCGTCTCGTTATAGTGACAATCTCGTTATAGTGACATTTTTTTCAAAAAACAAGTTTTATAAATATATTTGTCATAGTGATCGGGTGGAATTTGATTGGTTCTCTCGTTATTTTATAATTATAAATCAAATAACGAAATTCTAATATTAAATCAAGTTTATTTTTATTAACACAATACTTAACAAAGTATTTATTATTTTCAATTCATTCTTTACAATCTCTTTCTTATTAACAATAAAGAAAATTTTATGAATTGTTTTTTTGATGATTATAAAGTACCTACACTTTCAAAAAAAGACAAAGAAATTGATTTGTGATAAAGTATCTTTCTTTACATTTTTAGCATAACTGTTTTTGTTTTTCTTTATTAACGTTTTCAAACAAGGTATTTAACAACAAAAGAATTATGAAATGAATTATCCAATAATAAAAGAAAATAATTTTGTTATTTTATAATAATAATATATAGCCTTTTTTATGAATCACGTGATTTTATGAACTTTTCGTTATTATTATACGGACATTTTTTGTTTGCCCCAAGAGTGTCCTTATAACTGGAGTGACCTGTATAAGAAAAACAACTTTTGTGCAAATGCGATGAGAAGACTTTTGGAGCTAGTTCCTTCGGTTGTACTTGCAACTTGGGCAATCAAAAAAAAAACCAAGCAAAAGAAAAAAATAGCTACAAATTAAAAGATGCCTCGGATTACAAGGCTATTATATACTGTTGAAGAAAAAACGAATTCTTAAAGTAAAAAATTAAAAAGCTGATTATCTCTTGTAATTTTTGATTAAATACTTTATGGATTCAAGCAAAAGGAGCATGTAAGTTAGAACAAACTCTACATAAGCGAACTTCTCAAGGTGGGGATAAACGAAAATGAATAGAAAAAAGAATACTTTACCTTTCCGAGAAAGTTTTAAATTAAATTGACGGCATCATTACTTTTTTGTTTCTTTTGGGATTGGCTTGATTTTATTAATAACTTGAACATTTAAAAAAATTTTATTGAAAAAAAAAGAAACTGTCGAGGAACAGAAAAAAAATGGGGCCAAGACTACGAATAGATACAATAGCGGAAGTTATAGAATAATTTAAAAGTACAAAAAAAAGTGCAAAGGAATTTAAACAAATTCTCTCAAGTTTGCTTATTTTCTCGGAAAAATACAACCAAGAATTAGAACAAAACTTCAAAGAGATTTATAATGACTTTCACAACAATGAACTTATGGAAGCAGGTGAATTTCCCATTACTTGCTTTAAAAATTGGCAAAAAAAAATAATCGAGAACCTCTTTTTGATGAAAAACAAAATCCAGAATATTTAATAAAGTTGTAGTAGACTTACCAAAATTTTATCCTTATTGCTATGACGACTTCTAAAACCGAAAAGTTATCTAGATTGAATTAATCCATATTCAAGAAATTCATTTTGGAACAAATTCGTTAATTAAATTCGAATTGTGTAGCATCCTTTATATCGAAAGGATCTCTCTATTATGTAAGGCTACGGATATTCAAAATGGCATTATGTTCTCATTCAAAGATTTGTTTTACAGCAGTGAGTTTTTGCTCTAACATATTTGATTATTGAGCCTATACATTTTAAAAGATTGGTCCTAATAGGACTTCCTGAATTTACTAATACAAGTTTTATATTTTATTTATTATAAGTTCCCGGTGCCCTCTATTTTACAAATAAATAAAAATATAATTAAATGTGTGTGTGTGTGTGTATTTATAATGTATATATGTATGATATTATTTTTTTTTTAAATCTAAAAATTTTTAATAAATAAATAAAGCATTCTAAAATTTGTTTTTTTAAATATGTATATATATATTTTTTTTTTTTTTTGAAAAAAGAATTAATAAATTCGTTGGTAATAAAGTCTTTTTTTTTTTTTTTTTTTTTTGAGAATTGATGATGTATCATTACAAATATATTAATAGTCCACAGCATAGCCCAATATATGTAATGTGCTATGAAATAATGGATTAATAAATGTACACCATTAACTGTTACAGCTTACTAACACAGCTTACTAATTATCCAAATAACTAACTGATTGTCTTTGTTACTATCCAACATATATACCTACATTATCATCAACACCCAAAGATCTCATGACTTGTTCCAATTTTTCTTCAACAGTCATGCCGCCAATAACTCCTCCAGTGACATCACCTGTAACAAATTCACCACTGTACATATCATCTCGATTATAATCAATAACACTGCCTAAACCTCTTGTCATCTCTTCTAATAACTTTGGCAATGTGACATCTTTAGCAAAGTAAACGTTTGTTTTTGGCATATTAACATCATCAAGATTATCGTCAAAATTATCACCGAAATCACCATCGAAATTATCACGGTTATTGATAATTATTTTTTTTGGATTTTCTGGCGTTAGAAGCTGTTGTTTTTGACGTGGTTGTACACCAGGTAAATGTAAAGGACTTGGAAAACCATAGTGATATTCCAATTGACCATTTTTTATATCAGAAAATTGTGACACTTGATCATCATCCATCTTATAGTCGAAATCTTGAGGCCGTAGTTCTGAACTTGATACATACTCATCACCAGAATAATAATAGTCGTGGTGATCTTCCATGTCATTACTTCTAAGACCGTTTATTACTTGCCAAACATATGATCCGTCTTCCATTTCAAGTACTTCAACATGTGAATGTTGCTCAAAATCATCTACTACTTCTGTTCCGTTTACTTCTTCATCGTCAACTGCTTCATCATCTTCATTAAATATTATAATTGCACTGTTATTATCACTAATAGTTTGTTTTTTCTCGTTTCTCATACTATTGGAGTCTCTTCTGGTTTCACGTTTTTGAAGTTTACCATTACCTTCAACTTCGTCTTCATCATCACCTTCCTGATCATCAGAATAATCATAATAATCATATAAACTATCACTGTAAACACTTTTGGTTTTCCTCGTACGACCTGAATTCGATGATGCAATACTAGACTTACTCATACGTTTTGATCCAGTGCTGGTGCTAGTATTAATTTGAGTTTGCTTATCTGTTGGAATTGGAGGTATTGGAATATTGTAAGGTGTATTGATAACATTATCTCTTGTATTTGGTGATGGTATTGGTGTGGGAGGACGATTAGAGGCAGGTTTTAATGTTGGAACAACCAAAAGATTAGAACCATCTTCACTCATAATAGACGATTTATCGTTATCTTTTGTTGAAGAAGCAATTGTATCATCGCCTTCGGGTAATGGGGGAAGAAAAGGTTTGGTGATGATGATGGTTCGACGAATAACTTTATTTCGTAATTTGCTATCATTTTTATTATCTTGACTTTCTCCATTAATATCACCATTATCACCATCTGATTTTGAATCTTTATTTGATTTTTGTAATGAAATCTTTAATAAGTTATCATTACTATTTGTTTTTCCACCAACACCATTACCACCACTATTACGACTATTATTAAAAATAGATAATAATCTAGCACTTCGGGAGTCTTTTGATTCTCCTTTGTCATCACTAACATCCGAATAATTATCACTACTGATACCACTCTTGCTACTACCGGCAGAATTATTACGTTTCGGCGGGTCAACAATTGAGCCACCACTGATTGCATTCAATTTTTGATCTAGTTTGTTTTGTTGTTTGAAAGATGCGGGGTTTCTTAGTGGATTACGTGGTGTAATTAGTGGTGGAGAAGATGCTGCTGATGTGACGTCGCTAAATGAGGACATTGTACTAGCTGGACTATAAGATGATACTGGACTACTTGGCATACTATCTGAACCAGTAGTAACTCCACCACTATAATTATTATTTGCTGTTGCTTGCGATAATCCTGCAGTGTTGCTGATGTTGTTGTTGTTTTCATTATGATTATTGTTATTGTTATTGTTATCATCATTGGGAATATTTACAGTAAGATTGGTTAATGGACTTTGATTATCTTGATTCATTTTATTTGAATCAATTTTATTATTCTCTTCACGATCTTTTAAAGATTTTTTCTCTGTGGATGATGATGAATCTCTACCGGAAACGGCAGATTGTGAAGATTGTGATGCGGAACGTGATCTCAGTCCATTGACAACACCGCTAATACCTTTTTTGTTATTAGAATATCTTGTTACCATTTCAGCATGTTTTTTAAGACTGTCAATATCATAAAATGGTTGACGACCTGATGAATTATCACCAACATCATCGACTGAAGTTTTGATGTTGTTGTTATTGCCATTATTATTGCTGTTATTAACATCTGCAAATTTAACAACACTATTATTATTGATATTATTAACATTATTATTATTATCATCGAATCCACCTTTGATAAATGTCAATTTATTTCGTATATCTTGTCTTAATTTTTCATTTGGTTTATTGTTTTCCCTTGTACTATAGGCTCTTCTTTTAGATATATCATTATTATATGATACAAATCGATTATTTAGATTTTCGTCTGAAATGAATTTTTTAGGCAAATTCTCAGCTGACGATTTAGGTGATAGATTATTGTTTGAAGATTTGCTATCGCTCGTGAAAACATCTTTAATTTTTCTTATAGATTTACTTATCACCTTATTATCATTATTAGTATTATTGCTATCTCTAAATGAAATTTTTCTACGAGATCTATTATTTTCATCATCATCGTGTTGATCTAATTGTACTATAGGAACGGTTTTTACGTTTGATGAGGTGGAAACAAGTTGAGGTTCGGATATACTTTTTATTGAATTGGTTTTTTTAGATGGCCATTTACGTATTGGAATCGATTTTGAAGTCGTCATTGATAATGTTGTAGATGAGAAAAGGTGATTTTGTTGGTTGTATTGTTGGTGTAATTGATTTTGTTGTGATAAAAATTCTTGTTGAGATAGCTGCTCAGCTGCTCTTTTTATTAACAATTGATGAGCAATATCTGAATGGCCTGAAGCTATTAGAGTTTCAGTAAGTGATAATGGGGGAGGTTGTGGTTTAGGGGGAGGGTTTAAACCGATACGAATTGTACGTTTATTCGCATCATCATCATTATTGTTATTCATATTATTATTCGTATTATTCATATTAATATTATTGTTTGGTGTATCATTATTATTATCATCATTATTGTTATTGTTGATACTATTAATATAATTATTATCATCATTATTGTTATTGTTGATACTATTAATATAATTATTATTATTAATATTATTATTATTATTATAATTATTATTATTATTATTAATATTATTATTATTATTATTAATATTATTATTATTATTATTATTATTATTATTATTATTATTATTATTATTATTATTATTATTATTATTATTATACATATTATTAATATTATTCATCATCGCATATTTAGGATCATAACCAGGACCAAAAGAATTGATATTATCAAAGCCGTTGAATTGAGAAGTAGTTGGCATTTTTTGTTGTAGATGATTATTGTATTGATACTCATCATCTTCGACTATTTTGAAATTGTCGTACATCATTGACATTTTAACATTGGAATCTAGCGTGTTTGATCTAAGTGTACTAGAATCTGAAGAATTCATTACGATAGTATTTGAATCCATGGTGTTTGATCTAATTGTGTTATTATTGGAGTACATAGTGTATGTTCTACCGTCATTGTTGTTGTCGTTGATGTTGCTGTTATAGTCAATATTAGAAGAATCCATAGAAAATGTCCTAGGATCATCATCATTAGTAGTAATATAGTTTTTATTGTTGTTGTTAATGTTATTGTTATTATTTACAATTTTCATTCTTTGTAATGAAGATGCAATTGTGGAACCAATTGAGGAACGATCAGAAGAAAAATGAGGGGGGAGTTGCTTTGATGATTGTAATTTCTGATACAATAATAATTGTTGTTGTTGTTGTTGTTGTTGTTGTTGTTGTTGTTGTTTATTTAATAATTGTTTTTGTTGGAATAATGATTTTTGTTGTTGAATATAAATAATATTTTCATTATATAGTTTATCATTATATATATAATCATTATCATTGTTGTTATCATCAATAGTATTGTTATTATTATACGCAAATGATGCTATCATTGGATCAGTCGGAGAAGAAGAATCTACAATTGTTTCGTCGTTATAATTAACATAATTATCATTATCATTATAAACATTGTCACCACCTCCATCAACAACGTAATTATTATTATTAACTTCTTGGTTTTCGTTAATGATTTGATCTAATGTTTTCAAAGGAGTTTGTGGTGGATAAATTGGTCTGAAGAAAGGAGTATTTACATTTAATTTTGGAGAAGAGGGTAGACCAATCACGGCATTTTTATTATTGAGCCTTTTACCATTCAAGGTTGTGTCGTTGACGGATTTCATTGATTGCATTGATTGCATTAAACCTTCAGATAATTTTTCCAATGGAGAACGTATCAAAGGTGATGACAAATTATGTGGTAATGGTGACGGTGGAACTTTAGTTGCATTTCCATCGTTATTAGTACCATTGTTGGAAGGGGGAGCAAGAGATGGAAGTGGAAGAAAAGCGGTGGGTGCGGTGGGTGTGGATACTGTAGTAGAAGATGAAGACGGTGGTTGTGATGATGTAAAAGCCAAATGATTATTATTTGATATTGTGGTTGATGAATTATCATTCCACTTATTACCAGATATCTTAGTTATAGAAAGAGGTCTATTTCTGGGAGGTTTTGGACGATCCTTTGCCGGGTTTTCTAATAAACCGGATTCACGGTTTTTCGATTTAAAATCAATTTGTCTAATTTCATTCAAACCCGAATCATCTTCTTCTTCATGTTGTTGTTGTTGTTGCTGCTGCTGCTTTTGAATTGTTGAATTATCATTAATAATATTATCATCAGCCTTTTCTATATTATTGCTATTGTTATTATTAACATTGTTGTTGATATTGTTGTTACTAATATTATTATTATCAGAAATAATAATAGTATTGTCATTATTATCAGCAACAGTATTATTATCAGTATTATTTAATGTTTGACCATTATAAATTGCTGAGCCGCTCAATAAACTTATATTGTTATTTATTGTTGAAAGTGTTGGAGTGTAATTTGGAGAAGTTGATGGTGAAAAATTATTAATAGATCCATTATAATTATATGAAAGTTTTCCTAAAGAAAATAAAAGGAGAAAAAATTTATATTTTATACTTGAGGTGTTTATAATATGTGCATTTATAATTATAACATAAAATACCTGATTCATCATAATTATTATCAACAATATTAGAAAAGGCATTAGTTACATTACTAAGTGAAGATGGTTGTTTTATAGCAATAGGTTTTGATGATTGAAATGGTGATTGTGATGATGATGATACACTTGATGATGATGATGATGATGATAATGATGATGCACTTGATGATGATGATAATGGTGATGCATTTGATGATGATGATGATGATGATGATGAATTGTTTCCCTCCTCACTAGCATTAGTAATGGCAGTAGTATTGTTATTATTTTCACCTCTTCTTAGTACACTAAACCTTTTGGTTAGTTGTGGTAGGATGAGTGAAGTGCGAAATTCTGAGGCAGGTGGTAAAGAAAGTGGAGCGTTAGTACTTGATATTGGTTGATCAACTGAATCTTGTAGTATCTTATTATTGTATTCTTCTAAACGTTTTTTCAAATCTTGTTTCCTCTTGAATCTATTCATAATATATATTTATTAATTTGGAAAGATAAATAAACTTTTTTATTTTTGTCGTTTAATAATAATAAATAATAATTTGAGGAGAAATGAAGATTGAAAAAAATGGAAAGGAAAAAACAATAGAAGTTTAATTGGTGCAAGTGAATATTAGCTATATTTACGGTAGCTCGTGTTTAATCTTTATGTACGGGTATTATTTTTTACCATACAAAAAGAAATAAAAAGAGTTAGGGAAAAGCAGAAATAAAGGAAAGTAAATTTATTTTTTTATAAAAAAAAAAATAATTGTTTATTGAAATAAAAAAAAGGATTGTGTGTGATATAAATTTGATATAATTTGCAATTGGTTAAAAAAAATCAGGTATAATTAAGGTTATTATTATTTTTTTCAAAAATACTACTATTATTTTAAATTCTTTTTGTAATATATATATATTATTTATATTTATATTTACACTATTTATATTTATTCAACGAATTTACGAATTAAATTAGTGAAACAGATAAATATAATAAATAAGAGCAAATTATATTGATGTAAATAGTTTAAGCTCAGATATTCTCGCATATATAAACATGCATTATATACAGTGAATTACATATATATAATAAAGTATATATGGAGCATGTATCATTGAAAAGTAACAACTATGAGGTTTTATGAATGAGCCATCTATTATTTGTGATTATTATATTTATTATCACCTTGCTTAAAATATTTAATTCACCTATCAATTTAATTAATCTCAATCCTAAAAAGATATTTAAGCCGACGAAATCTTAAATCTTAATATATCCTGAAAGTTTACATGTTGTGATTTTTTAGGATTTAAGAGGAACAAAAATGTCATAATACATATTTATGAAACAAGATATTTTTAATTAAAAAAAATCGAATAAACAAATAACAAAAATTATTAATTTTCCGAAATAAAGATCATCGTGTGTCGTCATCATCGTTGTCGTCCGCCGTAATCTTTACCAATTTCAAATCTCATTTTACAAAGAAAGTTTTATATAAATACGCACGCACGCTCTTTTGCTTTGTAGAAACTTACACACACACACGCACACACACACGCATATATATATTACATTTCACTACACAACAATCACATAATCTCTCACAACCAGCTTACTAATTAATCAACTAACTAACTAACTACCAATTATTTTAAAGGTTTGTGGGGCAAGGAGGAGATGAGACTGGGATTAGGGTATGAGAATATGAGAATGTGAACAAAAATAAATTTAACTGAAACTTAATAAATACTCGATAATAGCTCATTCGTTCACGGTACTCAAACGTTTCGTGTGACCATTCGTTAATTAGAATTTACACAAACCATATGCATGTTATTTTTTTTTTTATTGCCAAAAAAAAAGATTCAAAGAAAATGCTATAAATAACAATAGTAACCATATTATGATCATAATTATATAACAGCAAGAGAAGCAAAGAACAAAGAAGGGGAAAAGAAATGGAAAAAAGAAATAATATTTTTTTTTCAACAAAAAAATTTTTAAAATTAATAATATTTATTGTTATTTACTATTATTGTTATCTGCTATTTCACAAAAATAATTATTATTTCACAAAATAATTATCAATCAGAAAAAAAAATATTATTTCTTGGTGTAACAAAATATTAATAAACTTCGTGTTATACCTTCTTTGTGATATTCTGTGATTGATTGATTGATTAATAATGATTATTGATTGATTGATTGATTGATTGATTGATTGACTGAATGTAATGCTTCTAAAAAATAAAAAAGATAAAAGATAAAAAATAAAAAGACAAAGATAAAAAATAAAAAATAAAAAAAAGTGTATATTATTTATATATAACATGTGTGTATAATGATAACTATTATTATTATTATTATTATATTACTATTATTATTATTATAACCATCAACTAAATGTTAAATGGTAATATATTGATTATTTATTTATCATATTATCAAATCATTTTTTATTTTTATTATTAACTAAAGAAGCACTAGAAATATTTTTTTGACTAAACATATGTAAATTATTTTGATGAAAGAATAGAACAGGTTGACCATTTTCCAAAACTCCTTCTTGCATAACAACTTTAGAATTTGGAGTTGAAGGTGTTGATGATGGTGATGTTGGTGATGGTGATGGTGATGAAGTTAAATTAGCACTTGCCAATATCCCACTATTACCCAATCCACTTCCACCTCCAACTCCTGCTCCTATTGCACCTGTGATACTTCTATTACTACTATCACTCATAGATCTTTTCATGTTAATAGATGAATTCATACTTGTTGTTATTGCTTTGTTATTATTATTATTATTATTAGAAGAAGAAGAAGGGCTTGGGTTATGAAGTTTCAACACCATTAAATTATATTTACGCCATCTTTTAATTATAATCAATGTGGAAACCATAAGCAAAATGCTCATTATCCAACTAAATAATATCAATGTCATATTTACTCTACTACAATTATCTTTGTTATCATATATTTCACATACACTATCTTCTTGATAGAATAACGGAATTGTATTAGAGATTGATGACAAGGACCATATCAATGCTAGGAAACTATACGGGATAAAGAGAGAATAAATAATATTATTTTGTATGTTATCCTTTATACATTATATAAATTTATTACTTATTATTTTATTATATATGATTAAACACTAACCTATCTACATAAATATCTTTTTGGATTTGTCCAATATTCCATCGATGACTGAAACGTCTAAATGAAACGCCTAAAATGATATATATATATATTTGTTATTATCTGGCTACCAAAGTATTCTTTAAATAAAAATTCACAATCTACCTACCTATAGATATAAAAGATAAAATACTGATACTAAATCTAAATACATGCGTCAAACCTACTCCCAATTCATCGCCACTTAACTTATAATCTGTTCGATGTAACAAGGCTATAAGCGTGATTTCTATTGAAAATGATAATATGATGGTGGGTTAGAATGGTGTGCTCGTATAACATGAATAACCGAATAAAAATAAAATATTTACCTAGAATAGTTATTAAAGCGTTAACAACTATTTGTGAAGTTCTTACACTCTGAAGAAATGATTTGGATACAAATTTCATTTTTTTACTCTTACTCTTACTTTTTACTCTTACTCTTATTTAATTTTAATAATTATGATAAAAAAAAAAGAGAAAATTCTTGAAGAAATAATTATTAATATTTAATAAAGTTATATAATAGAGCTGCCGCAACAAACAATAAAATTAATTAGTGTTGTATAATAGAAAGAACGAACGAGAAAAAATTATGATTTTTAAAGGACAAAAAACAATAATTTTTTTTATTATTATCAAAAATAAAGTAGTATATTTGAGTACGGTCATAAAGCTCCAAAAATTGGTTTAACATGAAATTCAGTTTTATTTATACTTTTTAAAAAAAATGCTGATTCAATGACTGTTTATTTTATTTTATATTTGTGTTATTTGTTCGTGTAATATGGCAAATAATTAAATTTTATTTATTTGGAAATAATTTGACAAATCGGAAATTATTTTTAATTCATTACTTGCACCATTATTTATAAAATAAATTGTCGTGTTAAAGTTAGTCAACTATTGACGAATTTGCCAAATATAGTAGAAAATATCAATCTATCTATCATTAAAACTTGGTAGAACTAAACCAAAACAAATAATCCAATTAATGACAGAATGAATAAACTTCATAGTCACAAGAATCACAAGTTAAATAAATGTTAATATATGTATTAATTAATTAATTAAAATTTTGGTATTTGCTTTAATTTAAAAAATGAAATTATTTCTTGGAAACAAGGCATAAACAAATACGCACACATGGACAATCGCACATATGATTTATACATTAATATAGTAATAGAATTTGTATATATAGATGGATTCTTTTAATATGTATATATATGTATATATAATTGTTACACCACATTCCTGCCGATCTTCCAGCTCCCGTGATCAACTCATTATCATGCTCTTCTTCCGTCTATTACTATTCATATAATTACTAGTTCATTCAACATTAAAATTAATTCACATGCAAGGGTTAACAAATAGTTTCTTTAAATGTATTTGTTTTATTAATAGATTTCTATGCGCACGTTCACCAAAAGTTGGAATTTCACAAAAGGCAACGTTAGTTATATGGATATAAGATCACTCTATGGCTGATTATTTATTTGATATATAAATAATCAAAGGTTGTAAAAATAATTAATTGTTCAATTAACCGTATTTCACACCTCTTAGCCTCTCCTTTCTCCACCCCAAATCTTTCTTCTCAAAAATCTATGTAATAATTATATATAATAGTAAATAAATAATATAAGCCAGGAAAATTTAAAAATTAAAAAATGAACAAAAAAATGACCTTGATTGTTAATAATTTAAAAGAGTTTGGATCTAACTTAGAAAAATATCTTTTGCAATTAAAACTCCAAAAAAGATTTAGACTTTCTCAGATTGTAATACTTATTATAATCATAACTTTGGGTAATTATATATATATGCGTATTTTTTTTTTTGTGAATCATAAATTTAAAATCTAAAATCTTCTTTATGCATTCTATTTTCCAATCAAAAAGAATTTATTGAATATAAATCATTTAGAGCTTGGACTAAAACATATACTACGTTGGAATCTACTAAATTTTTTAGCAATGATAAGACAATGTAAGCATACCAATTAAATTATTTCTGGATTTAATTATTTAATTTATTTATTAATTAAAAACGCATATCATTTTCTTTTTCTTCTTAGAGTTGAATTTTTTGGTTATAAAAGTTATGACGCTTTTGTTATCATCTTTACCTCAATTGTACTAGGTATGGTTCTCTCGAAATCATTCGTTCGTTCGTTATTTAGTTTTTACACGAATTAATTCTTTCATGATCCATTTTTATTATTCAACAAGTTGTAAATTATTTCTTTTTTACCAAAATCTGGGGTCAATTGAGTCTAGTAAAGTCTTTACTTTATCTCGACGTGTAAGTTGTTACATACATATACATACATAAGTCAAGCGTGTTTACGACAAATACTTAAAAAAAAAATTTTTGTTCATCTTCAATTTAGATTATTGACATTTATTTGGATTTCAGCATGTAAGTATATATCATCCATCATCTTTAAAGATTCCCAATCTAATATCCCAATTTAATTTTCTAATGCCAATCCTTTCCATAGGTATAACAAACATCTTACCAGCAAGACACGATGGTGTATACCAATGCACAAATTACACTTTTGGTGATAGTGAAGATTTCAAGGAAATATGTAAATCCTACTTGATTTCCGTACATCTTGGTTACTTGATGACCTTTTCGTATATATTTGTTTGTTTTTCCGATTTTAGAATGATTAAAATTATGGAATATCAACGAGAAACCTATCCGGAAATAAGGGCTTAATAAAACTATTGGACTATATTATTCGAGAATATTTTTATTTTTATTATTATCAAATTTGATTTTTAATTTCCTGGTTTTTTAATGAATTTTATTTATTATTTATTTTAATGTATTATTAACATTGTAATTATTTAATAAAATATAAAATTCATGAAAATTTCTTTTTTCCTACAAACTTCATACATATTTATTCCCAAGATGAACTCCTTTCGTGTAAACTTGGAAGAACAAGAGGATCGTGTTTTGAAAATCATTCATGTGCACGAGTAAATCATATCAGCCGATTTGGTTTTTTGGATCCTTTTTTCAAACCTTATATCTTATTGTGTCTCGACGTTAAACACGTTAAACATGATGTGTAAACTGGTCAATAGAATGATAATTACCCCAAAAAAATTTATTTGCCCCGCTAAAAAATCTATTTCACTATTCAATAGCCCGTCAAACCAATGCCCCCACCTCAAAACCAATGGTTTTTGCTAGTATAAAGTATTCATAACGTTATGATCATACCTTACTGGATTTTGGGGTCCAAACTTCTTATAACCACGAGTTAAACAAATTTCATGTAACTTTATACAAATTCTTATTCAAATTTCTCATAATACAACTCAATCTTGATTAGAATTATTCGGATTATTCGAATAAACTTTCAATGTAATTCGAACACTCAAATTCATAATAATAACGGATAAACAAATAACTCGAATAAACCTTATTCGAATAGAAACCCTAGTTCTGGTTAAGGCAAGGTTTTCTTTTCAGCCGCACATGCACTATTATTGCAGGTGAATTCTGGTCAAGTGACTCGGTTTCTTTCCAGCTTTATATTCTCTAAAAGAAATAGAAATAAAATAGAAATATATACAATTATACTTATATTATTAAAAGATTAAAGATTGAATTGAATTTTCGCTTTTTCAGCGAGATTAAATTATAAAAGAGTTATATAACATACAAACATAGCAGAGTGTAGTCATGTGATTTTATAATAATGATAAATAATTCTCGCCTCATACGCAACTACATCAAAAACTCTGGGCAATGTTAGAAACCATCAACTCAAACTCTAGTCATTTATAAACTTTTGATTTCTTATTTACTTGGTGAAACTGTCGAAACAACGACACCAACAACAATACTTCCAGAATATATTAGTAAACAAACATTTAAATGACGATTCAAGTATAAAATCTGCCAAAAATGTTCATAGGCTTCTTCACAAAGTGAAAAAGTACCAAGAGGTGATCGTGGCCATGATATGAATATATGTTTACTCAGACACGTGATCCAACCATATTACAAAAACTCGTAAAAGAATGTTTTAAGAGACTGGATAAAAGAAGAAGAAAAGTTGCCTGACAGCAATTTACTTTTTAGTTTATTGATAACAGTTCAATATCTACCTATCGATTTGAAAGCGTCGTTAGATTGTGTTTCGGGTACCGTTGATGTTTTTTTTAAAAAAAAGAATTAATTGGTTTATTTATTGAAATCTGGTCTAATTATGATAATTCGCTGGTAAAGGCTTATTCAATCTGATTCACCCGATAGATTTTATTTCACCAATTACTCTCTCATCCCTGAATGGTACAATAAGAAATATTTAAAAAAACCAAATTCATATTTATGATTTGTTACCATTTTTTTATTGCTGCTATAGTGATATCTTTAAAATTATACATCATTCTTCAATAAGCAAATTTATATTTTGATATCTTGATTTATTATTATTGTTGTTATTAATGATTGTGTCGTAATTGATTTTAATTTATTCAACTTTATTATTGGATCTTTAACAACATAAATAGATAATATGAAGAAATAATTTTGATAACTGAAAAGTCGTTAAAATTCAAGTAATGTTCCCAGGATCGTGAAAATATAATAGAAACCTGCAAAACCACCAACAACAACTATACGGTTCTTTTCAATAAATTGGAAGAACAGTAAGGAATATGGGGAAAGAAGGCGGATGATGAAACAAAAGAAAGGAAAGATTTAAAAATATTGATGATGAAGAGATAATAAATCAAAGTTTGGATCGTTCAACGATAGGAATTAAAAGAAATTCAAAAGGGTATCGGCCTGAATGGTTTGTTTCGCCAAGAAAAGAGAAACGAACAAGAAAAAGGCTATATAGAACAGATACCATTAGAAAATATAGAACAAAATAATAATAAAGAAAATTTATACCAATCAACTCTTACAAAAAGGGTCAAAAGAATCAAACTTGAATAAAAAGATCCCTATAAACGATGAAAATAATAACAATATAACAATATAAAAAACCTAGCAACTTCAAAGAAGTAAGGCCTATAGAAGATTTTACTTGAACCGAAAGAAAATTAGCAAAAGAAGTTTTTGACTAAAGCAAAAGCACAACAAACAAACAATTACTATTACATATAATGGTCGGCGTGGAATATAAATTGCAGAAATTTTATTAATAAAAGAGTATCTTCTAAAAATTAATATACATAATGATTTGCTCAATTTTTTCCTTTTAAAATTTTTGCAATGACCATAAAAAAAAACCCATGATTCTTAAAAAAAAAAAAAAAAATAATATAATAATAATAATAAATTTTCCTTATGTACAATTTTTATATGGTGTAAAACTACCATACTCCAAAATTATATTTTATATTTTATATTATATAAAATTAAATAATTTTATTTTTCTATAAATTAAAAAAAGAATTTATTCCTTTTTATGAGATAAATTAATTTTTTTATTTTGGGATTTTTTTGATCCCAATATCCCACGACAATTGGATGAACCACAATGACATTGTAGTGCCTCCGCACCAGCAAAGGTCGAGAAATTATAATCGTAGGTGAGTTCTGTTCCAGCAGGGACATTTGCTGATGCAAAGACACCCACAAATAATTCGCCATTTGGTGCACGCCTAAGAATTGATTTAATTAAAAATATAGGTATGATGATAATAATAACATATTTTTAAGAATAAATCTTTAAACAAGTAATCAATTTTAACTCACCATTTTTCAATGTGGCAGTTTGGATCACAGCTGATTTAAATAGCAGAAAAAAAGATTTTTCATTTTATTTATATCTTATGAAAAACAAAATTTAATATTGAATTTAGTATTTTACCTGTGGTTAATAAACCTTGCATCAGTTCCACGCTCAGTTCCATCTAATACTTCCCCTTTTTCATATTCTAAAAAGTACGAATGTATTTTATTCTTGTATACTCCTTCAATTCGTTCCTTTGCCATATCTTGTGTTATCACCTCACCACGATATTCCAAGATCAACTGTCCTTTTCTTATAAAATTTAATGTTTTAAGGCCAAATCCTTTCCCATGAGTCTTAATGTATCATAAATATTTCATAAGTTTATATAGATACATGTACATATATATGTTTTAAAAATAAATAAATCGTATATACAAAAAAAAATTTTTTTATAAATTTACCTCAAATACTCTTAACACTTTCACACATTCTTTCCTCTGGAACCTTTGATTTGAACATTTATCTCCAAGAATACAGTGTTTGGGCGAGCATTCATAACACATTGCTCTAAAACCATTTGAATTTTCATGTATGTAAGTGAACAATTTCTTTTATTTACTCTTCACCATAAAGATGGTTTATTTTATTATGTAAAATATTTACCTGTTATGACAGTCTTCGTTGCATCCCATCCCACCATCACTAGGGACTACACATTGACATACTACTGGCTCTTCATGTTTACGTTTTCGTTGAATAAATAAATCTAATAAATCACATATATATGCATGTGTGTATATTGCGAGTGTGTAAAGATATCATTGTCAGTATTTAATTTCTTACTACTTGAAAATATTTTACAATAAATATCTTACTCATTTGGATTTTTATATATGGTGGTGGGCTTCTTTTCGTTAGTCCAAGTTCATATTCTTTTATAAGGTTCCATGGTAATTCAAAAATTTTTTTTTCTTTTGTTATAATTTTACCATAATTTGTAGGTAGTGGAAGGTAACTTTTTGGAAAGTTGTCTAAAAGTTGCATTTCCTTTTTTATACTGCCACGAGTTCTATATGTTGCTTTTGCCGTCGTCATCGAAGACTCATCTCTCTTTAGATCAATCGAGTAGAAACCATTTTTCATATACTCTTTATTATTCCAAGGACATCTCAATTTATTATCATCATTATTATTATCATTATCATCGGTATCGGGACCTTTATTATCATGTTCAGAAGTCATAGCGTTATCTTTATCTTCGGAATGTGATTTTTTACTCTTTGTATCGTTGTTTTTGGATATTTTTTGTTCCTGTAATTTAATTGATTAATTTTAAAAACATAAAAAATTCAATTATCTAAATTTCATGATTTACATAAGTTTATAAAATATAATATGTGTAATATTTATTACCTTTCTATAACTACTAGTCAAATTGTCTTCAGAATATAATCTTTTATTAGATGATTTCTTTGTATCATTATTTTCAGGTAATATTCTTTGTTCCTGTAAATTAGTTGGAGATGTTTGATTTTTAAATTTTCTTATAATGTAAAAATAAATAAATGCGTATATATATATGTACATCATTACCTTTTTATAATTAGTAGTCGGTGAATTTTCATTATGAATAATATTGGTTATGCCATTATTAATATCATTATTGATTGTTGAATTTTTATTAGAATCTAAATCATTGTCAGTAATAGAATTTCTTCTACTAATGCTTTCACCATCATCATCATTACTAGCAACGCTTCCATTATCAATAATTCTATCAACGCCATTAACCCTGCTACTAATGTTTTCTTTACCATCTACACCATTAACGTTTCCGCTACCACTAACTCTGCTAACATCATCATTACCATTAATTTTATTGGTATCATCATTACTACTAACGCTTCGACTACCATTAATTCTGTTAACACTATTAATATTTCCACTACCATCATTACCATTAATTCTGTAGATACTATTATTACTACCACTATCATTTATTATATTGCTTATACTTAAACCGCCTTTACTCTATAATTAAATTAAAAAATTATACAAACACAAGAAATTTAGAACCAATAACTTAACAAGAAATAAAACACGAATATTTTTAAATCATTATTCACCTTTAAACATGTTTTAAGAGGTCTATGGTGTCCTAGGAGACGAAGACTTTGAAAAAAAATTTTGAATTATATTTATTTATGTTTAGTAATAAATTCAAATATACATTTGTTTATATTTTTATATCCAATTAGAATAAATAATACTCACTGAATACTACAAGCATTACAAAGCCAACCATTACCAGAAGGATCTCTACGCCAAAGGACAGCTTCACGCCTCATGCAATTAAGATTCCCGCATACACGCTCACTATTAGGAGCTTTAACTGTGTCAACATTAGAATTAACAGTGTTAATTTGTGGGAAGTATAAGGCTTTTGAGACAGTTCGCGTAATGTATCTAGGTCTTCTTGACATTATTACTTTAATTTATTTAAAATGTGTAAAGAATATATATATATATATATATTTTTGAAAAAATTAATCAATCAATCGATGATAAAATTCTTCAAGAATTTTTTAATTGTAAAAAAAAATTTATTCGGTTTGAAAAAAAATTTTTTTTTATTCATACACGTAATACACTTATCGATCGATGAATTATATACAAAATTTTTAATACTATTACCATTAATACTACATATATATAAAAAAAATTTTTTTGTTTTGTACGTGTTTTGTTGATCAACCCCCAAAAAGCCAATACGTAAATTATTTTTAAGATTTCTCCTGAATTATACTATACGTAGCTATTCCTTTTAAGCAGTTGAAGAAACTCTTTCTTTTCAAAACATTTGAATTATTATTATTAGTCACAAATTTGTGACCATCAATAGAATTTTCCAATTGTTTTGAGTTAACGACACCACTATAGAACATTTTTAGCTTAGAAACCATAACCACCATCTTGTTTAATAAATTTTCGAGATATTGTTTTTAAAGCTGTAAACACAATAACATACATATCCTTTGAAATGGGATCCAAAATCCCAAATTCTATTATATATAGCAAGTAAATATTTTTTCTTTGATAGACTATGTTCTGTTAAGGACTTGGCCTATTTTCTTTTTGTGATGTTCCGGGAGCATTACATAGATATGATTGCATACTACATGACCAAAACATTTCTGGACTAATTAATTGGCAATTTTGTAAAGCATAATAAAAAATTATTAATCACTATTCGACTATTCTCAAAATATTATATTCAAAGGCTCATCACCATCACTATCATCATCTTCCAGCACTATCATCGCTAAAAACATCACTCACTTCAATAGTCGCATCTTCAATTTCGTCAAATGTTTGCAACAAAATCAGATTGAACTCGTTTTGTGCATTCATTAGTGATATGATATGAAATCATAAATATATTAAATAAATTAATCGAATACATGAAAAACATATAGTTAAATAATGCATTATTTAATTGTTTATAAAATATTGTTTATTACAAAGGACCTATATTTTACTGAAAAAATGTGAGATTGATAACCTTTTCTGGTATTTTGATAGAATTTCCAGAATTCTAATATTTACAAATTCTAAAAAAACAAAAGAAAAATAGAAACAAATCAAAATTTTAATCATAATGAAGCTGATGGTATTTCTTTTTATCAAGAGCCTGGCGAATCCAGTTTTGGATTTTTTTGGCAGCTTCATTGTCCTTGTTACACTTATCTAGCCATTTGTCAACCTGATTAATTATATCATGTGCCTCTTGTAATTTACTTTCCAACCATTCAACATTTTCTTGCATGTGTTCCACTGCACTGTCAGTTGTTGACAATGAATTCAATGCTTGCTTAACATTTTCATAATGGATGTACCTAAGAACACAAATTTTAATGAGTTTAGATGATATAAGAGAAACAACAAAAATATTAAAATGGTGTCAACACACTTAAGATCTTCCAGCAAATCAACATATTCTTCAACTTTGTCCATACTAAAAGCATGATTATTAATTATTTTATTCAAGTTTCCTTTGGTTACATCCATTTTGCTCTGCAGCTTATTAAGCTTCACAATCACATCTACTGTTGGTCCTCTCAAGAGAATAATATACTTGCGCCTTTTATGCCTCAAGGAATTCTGGCAAAAAATTGTTACTTCATTATATGTCTTTTCTAGCAATGGATCATGATGAAGTTGATGGGATTTCTTTCGATCAAGAGTCTTATGAATCCAGTTTTGGATTTTTCTAGCAGCTTTATTGGCATTGGGAGAATTGTGGATCTGCTGAAACCATGTTTGGATTTCTGTAGCTGACTCTTGGGTCTCATCAGAAGCTTCAAACTGCTCATTATCATCATCATCATTATTATTATTATCACCTTCATTAACAATAGTGACAGGCATTGAGTTAATAGCTACTGGTGATATGATTTGTTGAAGAGCAAAATGGAATTCCTCACTAGAAGTGTATTTAAGCTTCACAACACCATGTAGCTCAAAGCTGTGAAATTTTGAGATGCTTCCACAATTGTAATAGACAATAACCAGAGAGTCAAAGCCATTCTCCTTCAAGTCATCATTCAAAGTGTTCATAAGGCGAAAAAGTGACCTTGATATAGAGCCATCTAAATGTTAAGAAAACAGTGTTATATATTATCTATTTGTGCATGCTATATAGCTGTATGCATATCATT